TGGTCATTCACAATCCTCAGACGGTCACAAACCTGATCTTTGCTTCCAGCAGGAGAGGCATTGCTCCCCCAGCTCCCACCTTCTGACCCATCCACTCCAGGGCTGTGTGAAGCGCAGTAAAGACTGAGGCAAAAAGCTGTTGCATCCTTCAGCATTCTGCTTGTCTGTTGTTACCAGCCTGCCTGTGTTGCTTATGTGTACGGGGTCCATGCGGGTTTACTCGTGGACTTTCCTTTTCTGGTTGAGAATCCTATAGAAGCCTTTCTTATTCTTCTTTGCACCCCTTGCCAAGTTCCAGTTGGGCCACAGTGCAGTTCTTTCTCATATTCAGAGGGAACTTCCTGAGTTCCAGCCTGTGCCCAGTGCCCCCCATCCTATCACTGGGCACCAGAGCATGGCCTCATTATCTCGACACCCATCTACAGTATTTGTACGGATTGCTAGGATCCCCCCTGCCTCCTCTGAACCTTCTCTTCCCCAGCCCCAGGGCTCTCAGCCTTTTTCCATCAGGAGATGTTCCAGGCTTCCCCCCACCTCCGTGGGCTCCGCAGCAGCTCCACGTCTGCCCTTTATTGGGGAGCCCAGGGCAGAGCAGAGGGGAGCAGCGCCTCCTCACCCTGCTGGCTGCGCTCTGTGCCGTGTGCCCCAAGGAACCACCAGGGCAGCCGATGGTTCGCCGCCAGGACCCCCAGGTCCTTCTCTGCAGAGCTCCTTTCCCATTCTGCTCCAGGAGGGGACGGCACCGCAGGCAGAAATCCCTCAGCGGGCAGCGAGCCTCGGGCTCGGCCGAACGCATGGAGCGGCCCCGACGGCGGGCACAGCTCCCCTCCGCTCCGCTCCCCGCCGCCCACCTTGGCTGCTGATGGCGGCGGCCGTGTGGTACGTCTCGCAGTCCACGCCGAACGCGCCGTGCTTCTCGGCGCCCAGCAGCTCCAGCTTCTTGCTCAGCAGCTCCACCGTCTGCTGCACGCTCTTCCCCTCCAACACGGGCACCTGGGTCACGCTGCGGGGCGACAAACGGCTCTAAACGGCCCGGGGACACGCGCGGAGCCCATCCCGAACCCCCCGCCCGCCCCCCGCGGCCCCTCACCAGGTGACCCCCATCGCTCCTGCCGTCCCCGCCCGGCACCGGAAGCGGCGGCGGAAGGATCGGGCGCGCGCACGCGCAGCGCGTGTCTGAGGACACCATGCCGAAGGCGGCGCGCGGCGCGGAGCCGCTGCACGAGCAGATCCTGAGGGCCGCCGCCCCGCGAGTGCGGCAGCGCCGGGGCCGGGAGGCGGAGGGCGATGCGGAGGAGCGGGACGGAGGTTACGTGGGGCCGCGGCTGGCCCGGCGCATCCTGCGGGAGGCGCGGAGGCAGCAGGAGGAGCTGGAGGCCGAGCACGGCCCCGGGGCGCCCGCCCGACCGCCGCCGCAGCGCTGCGCGACCCCGGGCGGCTCCGGCTCGGAGGAGGACGAGGAGGACGAGGAATGGCCGAGCCTGCGGCGGGCGGCCGAGTGGGACGGGCGGAGCGGCGGCGGGGATGTGGAGGTGGATCCCGAGGACGAGAGGGCGCTGGAGGCGTTCATGAGCCGCGCTCCGCCGCTCAGGTGCGGGGCGGGGAGAGGAGGAGGGGGTGGGGGGCGGACGGGGAGCCCCGGTTCCTCAGCACCGACTCGTCCCGGCTCCCAGGCGGACGCTGGCGGATGTAATCATGGAGAAGATCACGGAGAAGCAGACGGAGGTGCAGACGGCGCTGTCGGAGCTGTCGGGCCGCCCCATGCCTCAGCTCGACCCCCGCGTGCTGGAGGTGTACAGAGGCGTCCGAGAGGTGAGGGCACTGCGGGCCCCCGGCCCCACACACACCTTTGTGGCACCCCCACCCCCAGTGCAGCAATGGGGTCATCCCACCCCAGGAGGGGCAGCGCTGCTGCTTCTCTCAGGGCTGCCGTGGACCTCGTGCTGATGGGGAGGGCGCGTGTGGCACACAAGTGCTGCCCTGTGCTGAGCAGAGACTCAGCACAGCCCCTTTGCAGCGGAGCTGTGCAGGGAGCAGACGGCTTGCTTACAGCCTTGAGACAAACCCCAGCCCCTCTGCTTTCACTGAAGGTGCTGTCCAAATACAGGAGTGGGAAACTCCCCAAAGCGTTTAAAATCATTCCTGCCTTGTCCAACTGGGAGCAGATCCTCTACATCACAGAGCCTGAGACGTGGACGGCAGCGGCGATGTACCAGGCCACAAGGTGCGACCAGCACAGTGCACTCTGAGCTGTTGTTTTCTCTTTCTGTAATGGAATGAGAAGTACAAAATACCATCATGTGTCCAACACCCTGCTCCTCCCTCCCCGTGCCTTTGAGCAGAGGGGATGCCCAGAGACAGGAGAGGTTTCCTGCAGTCCCCTTCTCTCAGAACCTGGCTCTGGAGATGCAGAACACACACACCTCACTTCATGCTTTGCATTTCACAGGATATTTTCATCCAACTTGAAGGAGAGGATGGCCCAGAGGTTCTACAACCTGGTGCTGTTGCCACGGGTCAGAGATGATATTGCTGAGTACAAGCGCCTCAACTTCCACCTCTACATGGCTTTGAAGAAGGCTCTATTCAAGCCAGGAGCGTGGTTCAAAGGTAGGGGCTCCCTGTCGGGCTGCACTCCCCCCGTGGGAGCCTGCTGCAGTGCACAGCAGCTCGGCAGGGCAGTGTGTTGCACAGCACTACTTCTGTTACACTGCTCTCTCTGGCTGTGGGGGCTCAGTGTGGTGGAGGAAGGTGGAAGGATGTCCATGATGCAGAGGAGCCGTGATTTCCATGGGTTAAATGTGCCCTGAGAGAGCAAGGCTGGGCCTCACACCCTGCAGCTCTGCCTGCTGTGATGATGACCAGTGGTGCCCAACTCTTCTCCCCTCACAGGAATCCTCATCCCCCTGTGTGAATCGGGGACCTGCACGCTGCGGGAGGCCATCATCATCGGCAGCATCCTCACCAAGTGTTCCATCCCTGTCCTGCACTCCAGGTAACGCAGTGGGGCAAAGTCACCATGGGGAGAACAGTTTGCTTTCAGGGACACCAGATCTGTCCCTCAGCCCGTCCAGCAGCTCAGAGCAGGGAGAGCTTTTGCTCATCAGCTTTGCCCAGGGCTGAGATTGGAGACTGTCCTTTTTGTGCTGGGTGTCCCCCTGCTGCTGCTGGCCCTGCCCTCACCCGCTGCTCCCTCTGTCCCCACAGTGCAGCCATGCTGAAGATCGCTGAGATGCCATACAACGGTGCCAACAGCATCTTCCTCCGGCTGCTCATCGACAAGAAGTACGCGCTGCCCTTCCGTGTGGTGGATGCCCTGGTCTTCCATTTCTTGGCCTTCCGCACAGACCAGCGCACCCTGCCCGTGCTGTGGCACCAGAGCTTCCTGGCTCTCGCCCAGCGCTACAAGGAGGACCTGTCCTCAGAGCAGAAGGAGGCTCTGCTCGAGCTGCTCAAGTTCCACAGCCATCCGCAGATCTCAGCGGAGATCCGGAGGGAGCTGGCGAACTCCAAGACCCGGGATGTGGAGGGGCAGGAGCCTGCGGCCATGGAGTGAGGGGAGGAGGTGGGGAAACACCACGGCCTGGCCTGCTGGGGGCTGCTGCACACTGCAGGGAGCAACGCCTCCAGGAGGTGTTTGGGAACATCCAGCCCTGGGATCCCTCTGCTTGTGGTGCTGTACCCACAGGGCTGGGCTGCACTCCCTGCATTGCTTGTTGCAAGGCAGCGCCATGCCCCTGGCACCCAGGAAAGAGTAGGGTTTGCCCTGCTCCTGTTCTGGAAAATAAAGCCCGAGCTGGGTCCTGCAGTCTGGAGTAGCTCTACTCTGTAGTTGCATCTCTGCGGCTGCATACACGCATCGTCCTGTCCCGTCCCCAGCAGGGGGCAGAGCAAAGCCACCAACGCTGGGCTCCTTGCAGGGCTGCACTGCAGGAGCTGTCCCGACTGCAAAAGGAGAGCGGGGGCTGCGCAACCCCCTTGTCTCCCTGCTGGCAGCAGGCACCTTCCCGACTGCTGTGCATTAAGTGGTCTGCGATGTTGGGCAGAAGGGCTGGGGGGTAAACATCTTCCTTCAGTGAGAAAGGTGGGGGCCAAGGCTGGGGCCCTCAGACTGTTCCCAGAGCCCACAGGAGCTCTACAGGAATGCTACAGGTGGTGCTTCCAGGTTTGGTGCCAGCACCTGACCTGTGCCAACCCAGGGACGCTGTGTACAGCCCCAGGCAGAGATGAGGGCAGAAGCTGCCCAGCAGCACTGGGAGCAGAAAGCCCTCTAAGAGCTCCTGTCCTTGCAAGGCTGGCAGCCTCTGATTGTTCCCCATCCCTCCCCACTCCCTGCAGTGCATCCTTTTGGAGATGTCTCGTGGCCTGGCCTCCTTCCTGCCTGCTCCCATCTCAGCACATGCACCGCTGTGCTAGCAGCCCCTTCTGCACTGACCATTCCCAAACACTTCCCAGTTGCCCCAAGGACTTTGGCTTTCTGCTCCACAGAGATGGAGCAGCCCCAGCACTGCAGCACTGCTGTTCTTGGCCAGTGAGGCCACATGTGGCAAAGCCCACAAAGTGCCACCTCTGCTGGAAAACCCAGCAGGGACATCCCATAAGGCTGCACTTACATGGGTGCTTACCTGGACACTACAGGGCTTGCAGATGTCCAGCTTTGCTCCTGGAAGCATCACAGCCCGTGAGGAAGATTCTGTGCAGCTCCGTGCAGTGCTGAGCACCACCTCCTCCCAGCTCCACTTCTCCCCTTCCCCAGAAGCCACATGGAGCAGAGCAGCACCTGGGGCCGCTCACACACCGCAGCACTTCTTTTTTTCTTGGCTTCCTGATTCATATTTCCTTTCTTTAAAAAACCCAGAAGCTGATAAGCAAGAGACACACCATGCTGCCAGCACACGCAATGCACTGCGCTCACCTTCCTGCAGCACAGCGCCTGTCTGTGCAGGGAACGCTTCAGCAGCACTGAACGGCTGCAAAGGGAAAGCCCTGACACCACTGTGCTCATTTAAAGTACTTTATTGCAACATTATACGGTACTTGACTCTCCCAGCAGCAGGACTCTTGCATGTGAACACCAAAACAGATTACTCTTAAATTAAAACTCACTCATACATACATATATATAAAAATTTGTTTGTACAGACGCTCCTCGTGACACATCGGTGGTGGGAGAACAGCAGCCCCAGCTTTTTCCACCTGATAAAATTTGTTTCTGGTGGCACCCAGAGCAGATTTCCCCCCAGGACAGCAGCCGCAGCTCTGCGTCCAGAGGGCAGCCCCAGCAGCACTGCCTCCCGCCCCGCAGCGGCTCTCTGGCTATTCCTGGTTAATACAAGTCTACAATTTATTGATTCTCTCTTAGAAAAGCAGCATTATATAATGGTTTTTTCTCTTTAAAAAAAACAACACTTTTTTTTTTTTTTGTAAAACTAACAGACAGGATCAACAAGAACAACAACAAAATGCAATCTCTGTTCAACTCAAGTGCGCAGTGAGTTTTCTACCCTGTGAGGACACAGCTCAGAGCCATACGGGTATTGATGCAGAACAGCCCCCCGGACACGATCTGAGATCCCTGGCTTGGAGGAGTGAAAATGCATTTCAGACTATAGCAGCACATTAAGTGATATTTTTTTTTCTTTAAATCTAGCCTGACTTCTGAGCTACCTACAGCCAAACAGCTTTCAAGTGAGAGCCTCCCACTGCCCAGGGAGCAAAGGAAGGGGACAAAGGATAAAGGCACTTTAGGAAGGAGAAAAGACCGGCATCCAGGCCCCACCGCATGGAGCAGCAGCCTTCCTCCCCCCCCCTTTCCATAGCACTTAACAATAAATTAAGCAGCCTCGGTGGGGCAGCAGAAAGCCAAGGCACTTTGCACGGGTTTGCGCTGCAGCATCGCGCTGCACCCACTGCTCTCCCCAGGAGTCCCAGGATGAGGACTTCTCTGCGTCCATGCAAAAAAGGGAGCGCTTCTCCCAAGCAAAGCCAAGAACCCGCAAATCCCAGACCTAATGGCAACAAGAAACAAGGCACACACATCCCTCCAAGCAGAAGCAGCCACACCGCCCCGGAGCCACAGCTATCCACACACAGCAGCCCAGACCCAGGGACCCATGAGCACAGTGCTCAGCAAGGGGATGACGGACATTTTGGTCACTTAAGCCAACTGAGAGCTGGCTGTGCACGGTTGGTGGCCCATGCAGGGCTGGAAGTCATTGCAGTAAACACACCTGAGCACAGCAGTCTGCCAGCCAGGGGACAAGGAAAGCAAACAGAAACGTTTTACCATTTCCTTTTGGATTCTGTTCCCCTCCTCAGCTCTTCTGCAACCCAGCCCCCCCGGAAGGGCCACCTCGCCCCCACCACCCCCAGCAGCCAGCGAGCAGAGTTCAAGCAGCAGTGAGCACCACAGAGTCACCAGAGACCCCGGCGCCTTCCCCCTGCCACCCCCTTGGCGCTGGAGGTGGGGAGAAGGATGAGCACGGAGCTGCCCTCACACAGCCAGCAGGAAGAGCGAATCCCCACAGCAGGCTTCAGGTGGAGGGGCTCTCGGATGGACCGGGGGGACGCCGCAAACTCTGGGTGCCTGGGTCGGGTCCTGCTGTCGTGGGATGGGCAGCTCTCGGGCAGGGGCAGCCGGTCACAGGTTGATGTCCGTGACATCTGTGGGGGTGCTGGTGGGCTGGCTGGCCGGGTAAGCAGCAGTCTTGGCAGTGCTGTATTCCTGTTGGCTTTGGGATGCCTGCTTCAGGCTCTCGGCTAGGGCTGCCTCAATCTGCTCCTGACAAGCCTTCAGGCAGTCCTGTAGGAGAGGGGTGGGACAAGAGGCCTCAGTTCTGCTGTTCAGAGTTGAGGGCCTTAAAACAGCTCTGAGCGGCTGCTGGATTATACCTCTGGCCCCTGGGGCATCAAAGCACACAGAAGCCCTTTTCCTGTAGGAGACACCTCCAGCTTGCATGTCATTTAGACCCTTCCTGGAAGTCTCACACTCTGCTTATGCTCTTCCCACTGTACGCAGCAGTGAGCTCAGCAATGCAGCCAGCCACCCCCAACGAGCGCAGGGGCAGAGCAGAACACCTCTGGGCTGGCCAGAGCCATCCCTCAGGACAGATACACACATGAGTGCAGGGACCCTCAGGCTCAGGGTCTCCTCAAGCTCTGCATCTTGTCGTGCCACTGCCCGAGTAAGACCAGGTCATCCCTGCTGGGAGCCCAGTGGCACGCACATCACTGCGGATCTGGAAGCCAAAACTCACACGTCCAGCCAGACCCAGCCGTGACCAGAGGAGGGAACTCCTCCGCCTCACCGCAGCAGTGCTGTGGCCACCATGAGCTGCACTACGAAAGGGCAAAGCCTGGCCCCTCTCCCACACGCTGTCACTCAGTGGCACGAGGCGGCATTTCGCACTCAGGGCCGCAGCCCAGCCGGCTACACGGGGCTGCGCGCTCGCGGGATATTGTCACACACCGAAATCTCTTACCAGGAATCCACCGCCGGTTCTTAGAAACTGTCAGAGGATGTGGCGAGCAGAAATAGCAACGCCCACCACCCCTGCCCTGCGCCGCTTCCAGTAAGAGCAGCCCAAAGGCGCTGCAGCCTGGAGCCGCTGGCGGGCGGAGGGGACAGCGCGGGGCACAGCGCGGCCAAACGGGGCTGCCCTCACCTCCCACCTGTCTGCAGATAGGGATGGAGGCAGAGGAGCCACCACCGGGCTTTCCATGGGTGATTCTGGGAGAGATGCTGACAGTCGGCTCAGCTGCGTGCAGCCCTTCACCTGACAGTGGAGCCGGGGGCTGTGGGGGCTGCCCCAATCTGCGTGCCCTGACTCCATGGGCAGCTGAGCTGCGGGCTCTGCAGGCTGAGGGTACAGCAGCAGAATGGTGCGGCTCCGAGTCACAGCCCAGGGACAGTGCACGGCCGTGTTCAGGGAGAACCACCAGCCCTGAGGTGAGATGGGAGGCTGGGGGCTTCCCCTGGGAGCAGGCACGTCCACAGGGCTTCCTCCTCCTGCAGGAGCTGGGCAGAGGCTGGCCGTGCAGCACCCGAGCAGATTGGAAGGCAGCTGAGCTGCCCCTGACCGTTTTGGCTGCACTCCCTCTGTGGTGTCCTCCCTGCTTCCCACCTGTTCCCTCCACCAACTCCAGCCCACAGCCGGTTTCAGCCCCTGTCCCATTCACTGCAGCAGCTTGAAAGCAGCTGGCTGCACTGATTAACTCTTTAAAAAAGCTCCTAAAAACAAAAAAAAATATAAAAAGCTGCACGAATAAAGCAACACATCTTCCTGCCCCATCCCCTCTCTGCATGGACAAAGCCAGGTCACAGCCTCCCATCCGGCACAGGCACCAGTTCTAAGTCCCAGCACTGCTGTCAGGGGACTGAAACCAACCTCATGCCGGCTGCTGGCATTTGTGCTGGGGCAGAAGAAAAGATCAGAAAGGGCTCAGGCAGGATAAGGGCTCCCAATGGCTTCACAGCATCCAGAGTGACCAGCACATGGGGAGCCTGGTGACACCCCTTCCCTACTCAGAGGGCAGCAGAGGAGTGGGTAGATGCCCCCCAGCACCCCATGCCAACATCCTGAAATGCTGCATACCTCCAGCCTGGGTACCTGCAACCAGACACCATGGAGGCAAGCAGATGCCAAGCCCAGCTTTGCCCTGTGCTCCAGCCCACCTGGTCAACCCGATCTCAGCAACACCTGTCTGTGCAGGGAACAGACGCTCCCTTTTGTGCTGCTTTTCAAAGGCTCTGAGCTCATCTCCTCCACACAGATGGCACGTGGGGGCCGGGAGCCACCTGTAGCCATGGGCTGCACTGAGCACACTGCATCTAGAGATGCTCTCTGGTTGTCAGGCCTTCATCAAACCAGGGCCAGAATTATTACGGACAGCTTTCCCCCCCCCTCCATTCAAACCAAGCTGCAGAAAGGGGAAGAGCCTCCACCCAATCCCAAACCTCCAGCCAAACCTCCCCACCGCTGCCCAGCCGACACTCACCACCTCTGTGCCAGTGATGCCGGCCAGCAGCTCGGTGACTGCCTCCCCACCAAAGCCATTCACAGAGATGCTCAGGCCGTGCACTGCTGCACTGATGCTGCCCGTCGCAATCATGGAGGGGGGGTACATGGCAAAAGTGTAGTCTAAAACCAGGATGAGGACACATGAGAGAAAAAAGCTGTTAGCGAGGATGTGTGCAAACTCTTAAGTTCTTGGGACTGATTTCCATGGGAAACTAGTGAGGGCAGAGCAGTCTCCAGCTTAGCAGTGAGAAACAGGAGCAAAGCAATGGAAAACAGGTTGAGCATCACAACAGCAAGCTTCACCAAGCTATTTCCCTGGGCCTCCCTCACCAAAAGAAGTGTCGAAGGTGACCTTGCTCCACTGACAGAACAAGGCCGACCCAGGCTCACAATGAAGCTGCCTTTGCTCTGGATGCTCTCCAGCACACAGCCTCCCGCAGGCAGAATGATGGCACAGCTGTTCTGCTCCTCCCACCATCTCCTGGGCACCCACTAAGAGCCCCCAGGATACTTCTACTTTGTCAGGGAGACAAAGCTGCTGAGCAGCAAAGCACTCCCGTATGAATGAAGTCAGGCACTCAAGGCCGCTCCCCTGCAGCTCTCCCCAGCAGAGCAGGCACCCACCTGTGGCACACAAGGCAACGAAGGTCTGTGCGTGCTTCTTCACCAGCTCCATCTTGTCCTTAGGAAGCGGGAGGTGATGGAGGATGTGAGCCAAGAAATCGTTTGCTATCACTGAGACAAGGTCCCACTTTAACTTCTCCAAGACCAGAATCTCCCAATCCTGTACAAAGACAGACAGACATTACTCAGCAGGGCTAAGTCCAGCAGAGACGCTCACCTCACAGGCAGTTACACCCAGAATCTGGGGAAGGGCCAGTAAAGCAACGCAGCCCTTTAGGAAGGGAGGAAGAGAGGGAACATCCCTGCCCTGTGCCTATGGCACAAATCCAGCCTTGAGGCGCTGCGAAGGTTGGAGCAAAGACGAGAAGAGGAAGTGACAAATCCGGTTTCTTCTTCCCAAAGGTGCAACCAGATTAACCTTCTGCTTTGTAGACATTCCTCTGGGCACTCCTTTGCTTTGCAATGCTGCTGCAACAGTAAGAAAAACAGAGCAGGCAGCAGCATACACATCACTCCTGTGTTCCCTCCCCACTCCTGAAAAGAGCCACCCAGGCTCCCAGGAGCAGCACAGGGTGGGGCAAACAGGGACCATCTGGTTGTCATGGCATGGGGAACACAGAGACCCTGCGGACGTGCAGGGGAAGGGAAGCAGTGCAGCACCCGAGCAATGCCTCTGTGCTGGGGCTGGGAGGGCAGAGCTGAGCTGGGATTCCTATCAGGTATCTGCATTTCAGAGCCCGGTCCTGCCCAGCACGTATCTGTTCTTTGTCCAAATAGTCTAGGATTACAAGGTCAGTGCTGCCCACAGAAGTGCCACAGGGCTGCCAGAATGGATGGATTTGAAGAAGTGAGATTTTTTCCTAAGAGCAGATATCCATTTTCTTTTCTCTCTTTTTTTCCCCCCTTAACTCACTTTCCTCTCAAGACAACAACACTGGTTTTGAGTTGCTTAAATGAACAGCACTGCTCAACCTGCTCCAAATCCCATGCCAGGCCCAATGTGCTACTTGCTGCTTCACAGCTTGTGCTTCTCCAACCAGAAAGCAGTGCTTTGCTAGAACAGACTCGCTGCCTCCCATATGGACAGCCAGCCTGCCAGGCTTGCTGTATTTTTTAGCCAACACAGCCACAGAGTAAAAGCAAGAAGAAATGCAGCAATGAGACCCAGAGCCTCGGTACCACAGCACACAGGCACCTGGTTCTGCAGGGAAAAATCAGGCTTACATGGGAGATGGCCACCAGCTCAACTGAGCAACATGGCAAGGTGACACGAGGGAAGAGTCGCAAGAGAGAACTGCCATGTGCTGTCTGGAAGCTGCTGTGCTCCATGCAGCTGAAGCCCAAGGCACGCAGTGCTGGCAGGAGGTGAGAGCCCAGCAGCTCCCCCCTGACCCCCTGCACAAGGGACAAGGCTGGAAGGGGGAAATGGACATCACTGCTCATCAACCAAGCCCCAAGCACAACGCTACGCCTGAAAAGGAAGCTCTTGAGAACGGAGGAGATGCCAGCCCAGCATATTCCAAACCCTTGTTCCTTGTGTGCTTTCTCGGAGCTGCAAGCCAGCTCTTGGCACGTGGCGTTGGTGTGGTGTGGCAGAAGGCCTGTCCCTGCTGGGACACACTCTGCCCTAAGGAGAAAATTCAAGGCACAGATTGGCTGTGAGACCTCACCTGGGGGCATGCTGGCTCCTGCCACACTGCGACTGGTCCAGCACAACAGCCTGTCCATCTGCAGTGCACAAAAGCAGCTCTCTTCCACCTAATAAAACAATTCAGCTTCTTGAAAACCTTGTTACAAGAGGCAGATCCCTAGCTGGCACTCATGGTGCGGGCTGATGGTGACAGGAGCTGAGGACTGCCACCAGCTCATGGGGAAAGCTGCCCTCCGGCCACACCAGCTCGCTCCTCCTTTCTCTCCTGCTCACCCTGGGGACTCCACACTCTCAGATCAGCAGGGCAGAATCTCTGAATCATTTTATCTGTGGAAGAAGCAGAACCAAAGGCTGCAAGAGATAGGCAGGCAGGTTTGTGACAGCAGCACCGCTCAGTGTAGCAAACATCCTTTTCCTGGCATTTTGTTCTGCATCTAAGTGAATCAGCCTCTGCCTGCCTAATGAAAGAGAGGAAGAAAGTGGAAAATGTTTCCTTTGTTTCTCCTGCCTGTGTAAACCCACCTCCCTATGGAAGGGTTGCAAGCTGCCAGCATTGCTCAGAAAGCATCCCATCACTGGGAATACACCCAGCCCCTGCCCTGCAAGAGCTCCCCGCAGTTGGCCAGCATCTCTTGGGCTGGAAACCACACAACAGCTGGGTTTTCCCTACAAGCTTGCATCCTCCATCCTTTCCGGCTGCATCCTACAAAAGCAAAGGAAGGGAAGCAGCTGGCATCATCCAGCGCCTTCTCTGCTCACTATGGTCCTACTGCAGTGAAACAATCTCAAGCCCCTCATCAAGGGGGTTCTGAGTCACAAGCAAAGTTTTGCAAGCTCCAACTGGGATGTAACAGTTACAGCAGCTTCTCTCCTCCTTACGTAGTGACAGTCACCCTATAAATCAAGCTCTGCCCCCCCACACGCCATGCCTACGAGGCTGTGTAAACACATCTGGCAATGCTGCACAGGGAGCAGAGCCCAGCTCCTCTGCAGCAGCCCTGCCTGCAAGAGAAAGGAAGTCGCGCTCGATTTTGTCACTCGGGTTGATAAGGTACCATTTTACACCAATGAGCCTCAATGAGACAGCAGCAAAGCAGGAGCTGCTCTGGTATGCTCGCGAGCTGACTCAAAGGAAGGGTGGAAGAGCTGCTGCTGTGGCTGTCGGCAACCCACCCTCCCCAGCAGCTGAGACACAGCTACAGAAATGAGAGGCCATGACAGCCCACCTGCAAATAGGAAATCTGGGGCAAACGTTCATTTCCATCCCCTGACCAACCAGTTCAAGACTGGATGCCAAGGGTAAAGGTGACAACTTCAAAGGCAGAAAGTCACGCCTATTCCACCCGTGCAACAAGCAGAAGGCAAACTACAGACAAGCATGCGTTCTGGAAGCTCAATGCTTATCACAACTGAACATCTCTTTCTGCTCAGCCGTTATTCCTTCCTCTCATTTTCACTCCTCATCACCTGGTGTCACTGCTGCTGCCCTCGCTGTGTGCCTCACGGCCTGGTTCTGCTCACAGTCTGTGCCAGTTGATGCCTGGAAGGTGAACAATTGATCTCAGATCAAAGAGCTCAGAGGCAAGCCAACAAATTAGGGGCAGATCAGGCAGATGCATGCAGGCCAAAGAATAAGGTGACCTACAAGTGGTCTCCCCAGCCCCTGAGCAGCTGAATGCCTTCTTGTAGAAGCCAGAAAAAAAAACGAAAAAAGAAAAAAAAAAAAAACCAAACAAAAACCCTGCACTTTATTAAAGGAAAAAAAAAAGGTAGGTTAGATAACGCCCTCGACGGAAATCCAACTTCCTTCAAATGGACAAGTCCCTCGTTGCAGCACTTCCTTCTCTCTAGAATAACTTCAGCTAGATTGTGTTTCAAGTGTGTCCACTCTGAGCTGCTGAGCTGGTGCCAAGCATCCCCGCAGGAGAAGGAAGCAAAGCTCACGGGAAAGCAGGCTGGCTTCCTCCCAAAGGCCAGGAGGGACTGGTGGGAGCTGAAACTGCAAAGATCCCAGCAGGCAGCTGCCTGCACCACTGCCCACATCTCGGTGAAGAAGCTCCCCTTCCCCTCCCCACCGTTTTCCAGAGCAAGATTGTGAAAGAGAAGCAACATTACCACAGCGGAGGGAAACAGCAGCTCACCCTGGTTTTGTAATTGGGGTGTTAACTCTTGAAAGGTTTGTCTCCACTTTGAGACCCGGCAAGTATCTTCAGATGCTACCTCTGCTCCCTCTTTGCAGTGGAGAAAAGAGAACTGGAGCAGAATCTGAACCCAACGAGGTGAAGCATCTACCGAAAGTAAGCCTTGGGAAGCTGCTCTGGTCACAGTGACCCTGGTGCACAGTGAGGAACGACACATGCCAGCTACTCAGCTGTGCCCTACTCTGCAGTGCCCCAGGATCCTGGTGGGAAAACTGCACAGGAAAAGCAGAACTCCAGCACAAAGACTTGCAGAAAAAAGCAAGCAACAGGTGGCTGGCAGGCAGCACTACTCTCCTCCATTTCCACTGCAACACGAGCAAGAGGAGGGAGAAAGGAAGATGAATGTTGTGGCATGGTTTAGCCACAGCTTCCTGCTGACAAACCTCTGGGGCGGGAGGGCGGCCTCCAAGCAAGGAGGCTTCAGCATTTCAGTGGAGGGCAAAGGAAAAAGTCTCTGGGATGGTGCTTCTGTGTGCAAACACATCCATGCCCACTGCCCACCTGCACATCTCCTGGCTGTTCTCTGGAAGGAGCCTGTTAAAACCAAGCTTGAGATTTATTGACAGACAAAACTTGTGCCAAAAAAGAGTCTTCAAATAAACAAGAATCTGCAGAAGATGTGGTATCTGCCATCCCTTTGTGGCCCAAGATCCCTGCTGCAGAAACCATTAGGATCTGCTGTGATCACTGCCCCTCACCTGCAGGGGTAATGACAGTGGTAGGAAAAGGAGACGGAAACATGGGAGTTACTGACACTGTGCCAAGAGGAACCCTTCTGTTACAGGCTGGTATGTGATGGACTCCAATCCCGGGAAGATGCACGTGAAGAATCCACTGGCAGGTAAGAAGTTGCTCTCCAGGATGAAATCTTGCTGACAGATGGACAAAACCATGGCATGGCTTTTATGGCAGCTGTAGCTCAGCATCCGAATCAGCAGTGAGCATGTGCATCCCCTCTGCATTTCTCACTGTTACTCAAGGCAATGATCTGTGTACATCCTGATCTAGCTGAGCACATCCCTGTTCACTGCAGGGGTGTTGGACTAGATGACCTTTAAAGATCCCTTCCAACACTAAGGATTCTATGATTTTACTTTCTTCATGACTGCTAAAGAAGGCAACAACACCCGCAAATAACTAAAGGGAGAGACGTATGGAGGGGAGGGGGTTTTCCCCAACCTTCACTGGCACTTGGAAAACCCACAGTCAGAGCAAAGCCCATTGCAGACCTGCCTTCTGATTCACACCTGAAAGTTCTGTCCCCACCTCGGGGACAAATCATGCTTAGATCACTTCACCCACCACCAGCCCAGAAAAACAGATATTTAATACAGCAATGACTAACCCTGAGAAACTCTCACAGATAAACCTCCGGGGATGTTTATTACTCGAATCGAGGTGGCCGTTTCCTCCTGAGAGCTTTGACCCAGCAGCACGGGAGGTCCCCAAATAAAGGGGTTCTCTGGTTCCTTTCCTCATCAGCAAAGCCGAATTCAGAGGTTAGGATCTTTTATCAGACCAGAAAACGTTCTGCCTTTCAAAGCCTATGCAGCTAGTGCCCAAGTGCCTGACGGAACTAAGCAGAGCAGCCCTGCTTTAACTCAAGGCTTGAAGCAGGGCCTGGGCAGCAGCAAGCTCCCAGCACTGCCATCACCACAGCAGCACCGGCAGCCCAGATGGTGCAACCCAGCAAGCCAGCTCCGAGGTCATCCTGCTGCCACCCACTCCACTGGGTAACTCTGCACCTAAGGCTTCATTTCCCCAGCAGGGTGGAAATGTAGCTCCCACGCCATGCCCAGGAGCAGGGTGCACTGCAGCTGGAGCAGAGCACAGAGGCACAACTCCAGCACCTGCCTGCTGCTCCGCTGCAGTGCAGACGGTGCCTTTGCTCCCCAGAGCTCACTCAGGAGCACACTCAGGAGCAAGATGTCAGCAGATGTGCTGGCAGCCAGCACGTAAGGCACAGGAAGTTTCTCTGTAATGTGGAGATGACAACCCTGCTTTCCACAACAGGGAGAGAGGCTGTGCCAAGGAGAAAAGTCTCCACCTACAGACATCAAACCCACCAAGGCAAAGAGGTGAGATGGTTGGTTGGGGAACCAAGAGGAAGGTGGAGAAATGGGACAAAAAGCACAAGGAGACACAGGGGCAGGTATGCTGCCAAGCAGCAGCACGCAGGAGATAAAAGGGCTGGGGAGGGGCTGGAGAGCCCTTAGAGATAGGGGTGGTTACCAGGAGCTGCTGAGGCGTGATGGAGTTGTCTGTGTAGATGCAGAGCTTCTCCACAGTAAGGGGCATGGTTTCCCGCAGCTTGGAAGCCAGCAGCATGCAGACTGCCCCCAGAAGCTGCAAGTGATTCTTCCGCACGGGGACGGACGACAGGTAGCGATCCACGTAATTCATGGCCAAAGGGAACACCTCCTCTTCACATTTCTGCTCCTCGCACACCTGAGAAAAACCAATTACCAAAAAAAAAAAAAAAAAAAAAGAAAAAAAGAAAAAAGAAAAAAAGAACAAAAAGAGAGAAAAGGGAAAAAAAGAAAGAAAAAAAAAAGGAAATTTTAATCAGCACCGGACTCCCCAGATCCTGCCCCACCGCAACTTCAAAGGTTCTGGTCAGGATGGTGTTTCACACCTATCTGCAGAGCTATGGCAGCACCGCAGTGCAAAGGTGCAAATGAGCTACAGGTGTTAAGTCTACAGCTTCCACAATAGCAACAGATTCCACCAAAGCTGTATGCCTTCATTCATTTCTTTCTGCAGAACTTGAATGTGGTTAAAAAGAGCCCAATTGCTTCATTTGCAGCCTTGTAACTTCTGCAGGGGATGCCTGCTGCCAGCTGAGCCGCCTCGGAGAGTTGGGACCATGGGGGAAACTCACACTGCCAGCAGCGCCCAGCTGGAGAGCCGCTTGTGCAGCATCCCCAGCCAGCCCCAAACCTCCCTCAGCCACACTGGCACCACCACCACAAGCAGAACCCCAGGGCTCTCCATCCCAGTCCTTTGCTCTGATCAGTCAGCACCACAGCACCAGTCACAGCCATACAGATATTGAAGTTTCTCCTCAGGCAGCACCGTGCTTCCCCAGCAGCGACCCTGCATGGGCTGCACGCAGTGCTGGGAGCAGTGCCAGGTGTCACCTACTTTTTGACAGCCTTCTGAGCTCCCCAGCAACAGGCTCCAAAGCAGCGTTTGTCTAACTAACCTTCTCAGAAAGGGAATGGCAGAAACAGGACAATGCTAATAGGAACAAGAACAAACACACTCGCTAAAAGCACCGTGCCCCATCGTTTCTTTCCGATGAAAAGCAGCGGGCTCGATCCGAAGTCATCTGCTTTTTGCAGAATGTTCTTTCTTTCTGTGTTTGCTGACGGCACGCTCCGACCGCCTCACCAAGAGCTCCCCGAGGCGTCCCCCTCTGCAGCGCATCCTACTGAGCCGCATTCGTTTTTCATTTAGGGAAGGAAACGCTAGCGATATTATTTCCCCCTTTTAACGAGGCGTTCTCGGCCCCGCGCAGGACACGCGATCCTCCGCACCGCCATCGCGGCTCAGCCGCCCTCCCTGGGCGCTTTTTGGGGAGCACGGTGAGGTTGGGGCTCCCAGAACGTTATCAGGAGCGCATGGAGCGCACCGCTCGGGGCGATCGCTTCCAGCACAAGCGCTGCCCCCTCGCTCCCCCCCGTCCCCCACCCCGTACACCGGAGCCGCAGCAGGACGGACACAACGTCCCCGCCGCCCCCCGGGCCGCCCCGCACGCCGCACGAAGGACCGTGCCGGGAGCTGCCCTCCTCCCCGCCTCTCGCCGCCTCCTTCCCGCCGGCGCGGGGACTTGCGGGGAGGGACGACGGGTGCAAGAAAGCGCCGGTGCCAGGGCCAGGAGCTGCGCGCGGAGGCGTAGAGGAGGCGCCGGCGGGGGCCGTACCTCCAGCATCCAGAACGCCAGCATTTTCCGCATGTAGGGCTTGATCTCGCGCTGCACGCATTGGAAATAGGAGACGCGGGGGCTGTAACGCTCCTCCTGGCTCAGCAGGTTCTGCAGCACCCGCCGATCCCCCAGCAGCTGCGGGTCGCGCCCGGCGCGCGGTACTCGAGCCGCGGGTTCCACGCACAGCAGCTCCATAGGCGCGGGCGCGCAACGCCGGCTCCGCTGCTGTGGCCGCGAGACGCCGGGAGCGGGCGGCGGGCCGGGAGGCGGGGCCCCGGCTCGGCGGGGCGGGGCCTCGGCGCTCGCAGCCAATCGGCGGGCAGCTTCGGATTAACGCGCCGAAAGCCGGAGGTGGCCACGCCCCCCTAGTGGCGGGGCTCGCGGCGCGCGGCGGGCTGGCAGCACGTGGGGCGGCCGCGGGAGCCGCTGCCATGTTGGGGGGAGGCGGGGAGCGGCCGCCCCTGGGTCTGTCCCGGCCCATCCGGCGGCCGCGTGGCCCCCCAGGGTCCGTTTGGTTTGCAGGAGCTGCTCCCTGTGCCTCGGCGAGGCCGAAGTGCCCGTGAGGGCGAGGGATGTCCAGGCAGGCTCCAAAGGGACGGTCCCCCAGCCCACAAGGAATGCACATCAAGCCCGTCATTACTGTTTCTAACAGTAATTTTTCAGCGTTCAGTCCTATTCCTTCCCCTGCTTTTTGTGGCCAGAGCCTTTCAAGGCTAGGAAAATAATCAGCTGTGTACACAACTCGGAGCCAGTCTGTACTTAGGCTGCTGTCTTCCAAAAGTTACCCTCGCGTTGTGACTGGTGCAGCTCCTCAGCAGATAGCAACCTCAGTGTCTGCAGAGATAAGGCCTTGCAGGGCTCCGCTGTTTTTGCAGAACAATGAACAATAGTTTGGAAATACCTTTGCAAATTGTACCCTGAGCAACTTCTTCAGGAATTTTCAGGGAAGCTGAAGTCTTTCAAATAAGTCTGCAGTGTGCCTTCTGCAGCACAGGGTTTTTGTCCTGGGCTGGTACTTTGTTCAGTCTGCTTGCACCTGGCCCAGCAGGAACTGCTTTGTGGCATGGGAAGTTGAAGGCAGCAGGACACATACCCACCCACATTGCTCCATACAGTTTCTAAGCATCTACAAAAACTGGGATGTCTCAACTTTGCTACTGCACCACAAAACAACCTCTAAAACGCACAGCAGATTCTGCAGTTGGGATGTCAAGGTTTGTCTTTGAGTCTGAAAATTAAAAGAGGTTCACAAAACCAGCGATGGAGGCAATGTGCCCTCCTGGGATGGTGCTGCAACGCAGCATCTGCTGCAGCAATGGGTTACAGCCACAAATGTCAGAGGTGGGAAACACAACACATGTCAGCCATGTCTCTCACTCTGCTGGACTGCACGATTCCCTGACATTTCTACCTGTCTCAACCTTTGAAAAGAAGTGCATGGGGCACTTATTCAAATATAGCATTATATATTGCATTCTGGTGTGCTGAGGAAAGATACACAGAACTGGATGGAGATAAACCCAAATCCAACTCACAGCAGCAATCTGTCTGCAGTCCTGGGAAGACAATTGCTTGTGCTCCGCAAGGAACAGAATAATGGAGGGCTTTTGGGATGCAGTGTCATCTAAAGAGGGTACAGGAACATCTCTGAGCAGTTGTGCTGGAGTTATTCTTTAGTATGTATGCCTGTACATACGTTTAGGGTAAGGAACAAAGAACCAAAGGAGCTAGCAGTGAACTGATTTGCCACAACAGCTACTGCCCCCAATAACTCCTTTCTACGGGTGTCATTTTGACACGCTCAGTACATTTTTGTATTTTCAGCCACCTGAAAAGTCTTTTAATGAAGAATGAACACACAAAGTTAATAAAACAAGACTGAAATCTTTGTTCTCTTTTTCCACACTGAAAATGAAAAACATCTTTTTGATCAGTTTAGAGATTTGCAATACCACTCACGACACTGAACACAAAGGTCACATACATAACATCAGTACATCTCACACGTGGGGATCCCACCTCTGCACTCACACAGACGGCTTTCATTTGCTGACTGATGCCACCGTATCAATTTGCTGTGATGAATGCCCTCAGAATACCACACAGCAGTGATGCAGAGCTGGAGAAAAGAAAGGGTGACAGCAGAATGAATCCGATCAATTCCACCCCTTCCCTGAAAAGAAAAAGAGGGATTTCTGTAGGTGAGGTGAGATTCCCAAATCCCTCTTCCAGTTCATTTTCCTTTCACCCTACAAATAAATCTTCCCGTGGTGTGGGCAAGAAATATTTGAAGAATCCACGGGAGAGGTCTGTGTTGGGCAGCCTGCTGGTTTTCACCTGGGACGACCCCCAGCTCCACTCCCCCGTTCCCTCATTGTGAGCGGCCCCCATTTGTGCAGGGGAAGAGAAGGGCCCCACGTCCCACATTTTTAGTAAAAATAGCAGCTATTTTCTCTAGTCAGGCAAAGGGAAACCACAGCACTGGGTTCTTGGTCCTTCTGGTTTCTGGGCTGTGTCTTTTGAAATTGAAAGTTCCGGGCCCTTTTCCAGACTTCATGGTCTTGCTCCCATATTCCCTGGTGTCTGCAGGGCAGCCCCTCTGGCCGGAGCTGGGCTTGGTGGCAACTGTGGCCCACGGGGCACAGGGGGAGAACGAAGCCAGTTGCATAAGAAAGTTTCCTTCCAGATGATGACTTGGCAAAACCAGTGCCTCTGCAAGCCACATTATCAGGCTAGGAAGGCAAATTACAGGCTGAGGGCGTCCCCAGAAGCCTATTGTGTGGGTGTGCAGAGGGGAAAGAGAAAATTCCAGGAAAGCCAAATTTTGGTCACTGCTGCCCGTAGATAGTCAGCTTCCTGGCCCTGGCAACAGACAGCACAGCAGCATTAAAAAAGGAAATTCCTTCAGAGTAAAAATTAAAAAACAGATAGCCTCCAGACTTCCAGGACCTCCAACCAGCAGTGTTGTTCTTTGCTGAATCACAGAGCAGGCTCATTTTCTTGGTATGCTTCGGATGAATTGCGAAGACTGACCAGCAGCTGGGGCTTTTAAAGGGGCGATGCGAATACAGGGCTGATTCTGGTGGGCATGGCTGGGATGGCCATTGAGAAGGGGCATTTCTGAAAGCTCTTCTCTGCAGGAATTTCCAGCTACATCACTCAGTATCGGTGGAGGATGTAGTTCCAAAGGCTCTCAATGAAGCTGTATTTTTTCCACACTGCTTTCTGATGCATTTAGAGCTGCCTCCCATCCAGTTTTGATCTGCCAAGATCTAAGCCATCCTCGTCCTTGGTCATACTGCAACTACAGTGTCAGCAGTGACATCAACACGAAACTGCTCAACATATATCAAACCAAATCCAATGAACAAATAACCATATGATTTGCTATAGGAAATCCCCCAAATAATGAAATGAATAAAATGAAAAGCAGATACCATTTTGTGCATGAGAGGGGAAGAGCGCAGGCAGTATTTCACCCTTTCTGCTTTAAGGATTTCAAAGCCCCTCAATCTGTTGTATTTCACATCCAGTTTTCCCTAGCAGTGCCCACGAAGACAGGCTGTGTTCGCAGGACAGCACTCTGGGGCACAGCATCCTGCTCCTGCAGCCGTTCCCTGGCTCTCCATGCAGGGGAGCTGAGCATTTCCCAGTCCTGCTCCCATGCTTCGACGTGAGACAGCTGCTCCTCCCCATAGCAGCTCTCTCTCTTATATCTCATTCATTCTTAAAATTCAGGGAGTAAAAAAAGAAAAAGAAAAAAGCTTTCACTGAACCGAAGTGCAGTTGGGAAAATGTAGCGCTGCAGGATTTAACCCAGGGGATGTGTTTCCTAATAGCTTTCCCATTACTGGCAACCACTGCATTCCCTTTCCTCTGACTTGGTCAGACTTTTGAGTACAACTAATTAGTTCAGAGTGATATCATCTGAATACCGACTGTCCGCAGCGCTCTGATACGGCCGGCTCTGATATACGCGAGCCTACTGAACAAAGCTCCGTGTTCCTAAGGTCAAAATACAACCTTCCTGCCAGTTTAACTCCCCATATGAGAGCAGCTTTTGCTGTAATTCGGACCAGTCCTCCGTTTAAATGGAAATAAAAGTGCTGAGTTTGTTACATCCATCGCTTCTACACCCACATGCACCCATTCCTGGCGACAGCAAAGAGGCGCGAGCAGGAACAGAGAGATGCAGTCGTACACGAGAACTTCACCAACGAGTCCCTTTTGGCAAATCCGTTAGCAGAAGATTTCCAGATGCAGTCATGGCTTTGGGGCGTCTCCATTTCAGAGCAGCTGGGCCAGATCTGACCCCAGTGGAGTCAGGACAGATTGCCACAGCTAACCATTAAATGCAGCTCCACCTGACTTTCTACAAAAAGTATTAAAACAAGTCGGTCTTCAACTGTCATTTCAGCAGCTGTTTTCTGCCCCGGTTCCCTTTTCCTAACAAATTCTAAAATTAAGCTCCATTGTCATTGACTCAGGCTCATGGCACACTGAGCAGCCCCAGGTGAATGCTCAGTTTTGCTCCTAAATCAGACATTTCAGAAACCTGCCCAATTCTGCTGGTAAAGATAGAAAGAAAGACTGCAAAAAAAAAAAAAAAAAAAAAAGGCAAAGTTGAAACCAATCAATTTCAGAAAGCTAACAGGGCTTGGAAAGCCCCCACTTGTGATATATTTAGTTAATTTCAGGGGAATATCTGTGGTAGCCAATTATGCAAATTGTTAAAAAATACCACCCCGAAATTTTACACATAAAATATGTATTTTTTCAACCACCCTTCCCGTGCCCATCCTTCCTGCCCTTTTCATTCCCTGCCCTGAGACGATCTTCTTGTCTACGTATGTCTCACGTGCCCTGTTCAGCAGACTGGCTGTGTTTGGGTTTTTCTAAGCACGTTGGGTTGCGTGGCATCTCTCATTTGACATGACAGTGCCAGTACCTACGGCCTGTCTGCTAGCGCCAGCTGGAGCCAGCACAACAGCTCCCATCAGCACAGGCAGAATTTGCCATGGGCTGCACTGCAGAAAGGGAAGTGATGAGGCAGGGGACTGGCCCAGCTGGAATACAGCAGGGAGAAGGGAAGACTCTGAAGATCTGCACTCAGCTGCAGCCAGGTATGCCACAGGACTGCCACGGCTGCTCCCTGGGTTCTTGCCCACGGCCACTCTTCCCAGAACTGCAGGGTGGGCAGCAGAGCACAGCAGCAAGGCCACGGCCAGCACTGCGAGGCAGCACAGCGGGCTGGCGGTCAGGAGGGCTGGGTTTGACTCGGACGGCCAGGTGGAGAAGAAAGGGCACGTCTCTGCACAAGGCTGGATGGGACACTGGTCCTCGTTCCCCTTTGGACAAGCAGAGGACAACAGCAGCATCACACTGCTGCTCCAGTGAGGGGTGCAGGCTGGGCCTGAGCAGACTGAGCTCTCCGGCTGCAGAGATTCCGCAGTGCCAGTGACAGGAGGACAGGAATGTCATCAGAGCTGAGCCTGTGCCAGGTCCGAGTCCTTGGAGGGAGGCAGGACAGGACAATGTGTGTGTGGGCCTAGGAGTGTTTAGGGGAAAGAAAGAAACAGATTGATACTCCCTGACTTCCCCACTCGCAGTGCACCTGGCTCACTGCTCCCTTCCAGCACTGCCTGAGCACACCCTACAAGAACTCTGAACTGGAGGCAGACCTTGCAGGCAAGCCTTTACTGTGAGCCTGCTGGCTGCCCTCGCTTCGCACCCTGCTGTGACTGAAAGGAAACATCCTGCACCAACGCCACCTCGCTCAGATGGCAGTGGGCACTGAGCAGTGCTGCTCCCAGCCCACGTCTGTGCATGGCAGATCCCTGGCCCTGCAGGCCCAGGGGCAGCCCCAGAGCCCCCTGTCTTTGCAGCCAAACTGCTTTGGCACACAGTAGGTCAATGCATTTAAGACAGAATGCGTCCCCTCCACCTGGGCAGTGAGGAACACGTGCAGCAGTTCAGATGGCAGCCAGAAAAGGAAAACTTTGAGGACCTACAAGGCACAGCGATTAATTACGGGCAAAGGCAAAATGTCAGACCTATGTGTTAGTAAATGGAAATCAGATACAATCCACACAGCAGCACAAGGCATCTCTTGGAAGTCTCTTTTGCTGAGTATCAGTGTGCTCATCAACACTCCTCCCAGGGGCACAGATGTCACCGTGTTTCTTGTGACTGCCACATCCCAGTACCTCCACACATCTCAGCAGATAGAAAAAGATCAACTTCACTGAGATGCTAATATCCATCATAACATATGGATGCATTTCTCCCGGCACTTCTGCTAGTTGTATATTATCTACATATGCTCCTGCATTCATATCATCAATAATTACTGACATTAACAACATACTAATGAGACACACTCTGTGAGTGAATACACATCACTGAGCAAGGAGCACTTCTGCTGTATTTAGGCAGATCTCTGGTGGAGCAATTCGAGCAGCAGCCTGACACATTAACCATTTCTTCCAACACCAACCTGCTGCTCCATGCTTGCTCTGAGCCCTGCAGCATAGCATCACAGCCCTGCCTCTCCTAGCACCACAGCAGTGAGGTGAGAGAAGATACTTTTGCCTCCTGAGCCACTGAAATGGTAAGCTGAAATCAATAGTGGTTTATGTGACTGTGCTGAGCTGGAAAAATTGGTACTGTGCCCTGTTCAACTATTCCTACAACAGCCACCCAGTCAGACCTGTTGCCCTCCTGCTCCGTGTGTGCAGAAACACGCAGGGGATGGGAATGAGAGGTACTGCCACGCCAGCGTCAGGCTCCTACAGGGATACTGCCTGCAGCAATTAAAACACCAACTTCCTTCCCACTGTCAACTGACAAACAGGCTCCTGCAATCAGGCATGAGTGCTTCTGAGCTTATTTTTGTAGCTCTTCAGCATTCTTTATGCAGCAGAGTGGCAGACCATGTCCTCAAAACAAGCATTAACGTTAGGACAGCAAGCAGCCTGCTGTGGGCACATGGATGGGAGCAGAGGACCCGAAAGCAGGCTGGGTGTGCTCCCACACAGCGATCAGCCCACAGTATCCGTGTCACACTGAAGAACCCACAACTGCTGCCAATGTTTTGAAGCTGTCCCCCATCAGCAGCTGGGGAAGGAGAGATGATGGGATGGCAGTGCTTAGACTGCAAAGGAGTGCAAGAGCATCCTCACCTACGGATGGGGAAACTGGGGCAAGGAGCACCAAAAGGATTTGCTCGGTGCTCCTGGCAGACAAGGCCACCTGGAGAGGGAGCCCACAGTTCCCAGCAAAAGCCAGGGCTCAGAGCTCTCTCCACCACAATCAAACACATTGCAGGGACAACATCAGTGCTGAGCTCCTCTCAGACACATTCTTGTGTGCTTGGTGCCATAGACACAGCTCTCTTGCCCCAGGCACTGATCTGTATGGCACTCACTTGCACATATTTTCCACTGCTCTGTGATGTAGGGCTGTAAACTCCTCTCTGGATGATTTCCCATAGCCTGGCAAACAAAGGGACCTTGCAAATGGTGTTGGCTCCTCATTACCTCCTCAGGGGGGAGACTCCCTGCTCAGGACCACTGTGCCAGTCCCAGAGCAGGCTCTAAGCAATGGCAAGTGCAGAACTGCTGACTAGCCCATGTCACAGCTGCTGATTATCTGCAACAGCTCAGAACTGGCACCACGGAGTACAATGCTTGCCAGGCCTACCAGAAACTTACGATGATAAAAACTTCTCCAAATATGCACTCCAAAGCCCACTGCAAGCAGCAGAAAAACGCTGGCCCAGCAGCTTTAGATGCACAAACAGGAGATGCTGGTTTGGACTCACACTTTCTTCTCTGGCATTTTGGACCAGTCTGGTCCCCTGACCAACCTGAACTTAACACGAGCCTTGAAGGAAGTAAAGGAGAGAGACCCTTACCACCCAGCACAGCAGGGCAAGCAGGAGAGAATGGCGTGGGCAGAGAGCTGCAGGCAGCCGGTGGAAGATGCCTCTGGAGGACTGAGCAAAGCAAGGAAACTGAAATGCACTGTTCTGCTTGTTCTGTGACAAATGTGTGCAGCTCAGCTGGCAAGGTGACAGGAGGAAATGGTGCCGTCACATTCAGCCAAGGAACTTTTGCTTCCCAGGCTGAGCTCTGAGCAGCTCATGTGATGGAAAGCAGAGGGACTTGTTTCTCCTCCCACCTGAGCTCCAACCGCTTCTTGCATTCAGGTAAGGCAAACGTCAAATTGGCACATGATTTTGACTTCTCACCCTAAATCAAGACAGAAACTGATAAGATGCATGCATGGATGCTAGGAAAGCCAGAAAGGGAAAGAAAATGGAGGGCAATGAAGCAGGGGGGAAAGCTAGATCAAGGGCTGCATTTTCTGAGGCACTCAGCAGCCAGCAAATCTTTTTGTTCTCAAGGCAATGGCGGAAGAACAGAGTCTGGATTACCCTTGGAGGCAGCTGAGCCTTTTTTTCTAAAGCTGCCCCTCCCATTCCACATCTAAGATGAAGATTTCACACAGACGAGAGCTGTTTGATTTAAAGGCATAATCCTGTGGTCACCACTGCAGCGCACGGCTCTGGTTATCTGAACAGAGACTTTGAGAGTCGTGGCCTGCCCTGAGGTTGCCACCTGGGAACAGGTGCCAGGCCCAGCATGCTGGGAGGTGACCTGGGAACCCTCCTGCAGGATCCAGCCTCTCGGCTATGTGGTCTTGCCCTGCTTGGCAGCTGACAGTCCTTGCAGTGCAGAGGGTCAAGAGAATCATGGTCTAAAAAACTCAGGAGAAAGTCAAACATACAGCACAGCAGCTGATCCCTGTGAGATGCTGAGGCCAGGAGCACAGATTGCCTCCAAGAGTTAACAGAAGAGCCCAGGTCAGCTGGGAACTGGATGAACTCTTAATTACTACAGAGGGGGAAAGAACAGGAGGCCCTGAAGGGAAAAAAGAAAGTTTGGAAGTGGTGGGAGATGACATTTAAGAGACCTCACTGCTACTTAGATCTCTTGAATACCCTGCAATTGGCCAAAGAAATTGGAGTGACTCCAGGTCCTTTGGGTCCCTTTTTAGAAAACAGCTCAAAAATAACACACACACACACACACACACACACACACACACACAAAAAAGCCTGAGAGGATTGACCTGTGCCTGATGCTGAGAGCAGATGCACCAGCAGAAAGGAGAGCCTCTGGGAGCCCCTCCACGGTCCAATGTTCCTCTGATGTCCGCTGGCTCGCCTGGCACTGCTGAAGGGCATCAGTGCATCGCTTGCTATTTTGGACACCGTCCCTTTCCTGTGGTCATGCTCCGGGGCAGACGAGTTGCACGCAGGTTTGCAGTTAGCACTCAGTGCTTGATTCACAACGCAGCTGTTGGGGGAATGGGTCGATCCCCTGCCCCACACGCTGGGTTAGCAGGCAGCTCCCTTGTACCCACTTAAGGACCAGGAGATGTGCTGCTGCCTAAAGCGCAGCTGAATATGGAAGGGCTTCATTTTGGAACAAAAGCTGTGAGCAGCTCCAGTGGAGCCAGGAGCAGATTCTACTTGGAAAAAAAAACCTTT